CAGAAGCTTCATTCTACTAATGTTATATATATACATATTTTTTAATATTATTTTTAAATTTATATATATTTAGTGAGTGGTGGAGGGAGACCCTGAAAATCACGTGGAGACACCAACAGGGTCTAGCTGAATTGGTGACCCATAACTATCGAGCTACAACCCTGAACTCGAACCCACAATTAGTGGTCTGCTCCCATCTCTTCCATATACGGCGTGCCCATCCTTCTCGTTAAAGCAGTGGTCGTCAATGACTCCACATATATTGTAGGAGTCATTCGAGGTACCTGCAAGGGCCCTCAAATTGACATGAAGGGGACCCTTTGATCTCTCTTTCTCTCTCTCTCTCTCTCTCTCTCTCTCTCTCTCTCTTTCTCTCTCTCTGGCACAATTTTTAATTTTATTTTTATTTTTCTTTGTCTTATGTGCACAGGGCGCACCTCCCTCAGCGCGTGCACTACCCACAGTGCACGATGCATAGTGTGCGTGCTGTCATTCCAGCGCACAGTGTATGGGCACTGGCTCGCACCGCACTGGTGCACCGCAAGTATGATTGACCTGCATCAAGCAATCCCCATACTGGAGAGCAAGTTAGACTCTACTTTAGCCCCCATAAACAATAAGACCACAATTTTGGCACATTTAACTCAAGGAAGACAAGTTTCCTTCACAACAGACTATATTGCACGACCTTTATCAGACCTTAATACCACTGGCACTTGTGCATACGTCAAACAAGTAGTTTCGTTGTAAGTTCATCCCATGTCTTTATACAATTTTTTTCACTTTCTGTCTCGGATGCTACAAGGTCAGCACAAGACAAACCATCTAATGGTCGTCATGCAACGCTGCCTTCATCAACTGGTCCGCTCGAGCACGACAGAATGAAACAACAAGAATAACAATCCTATCCAGCAGCGTTGGCACATAGCAAAGCGACGACGAGATGACATTCGACTTGTAGCTGACAGTGCAAAAAACCAAAATAAAATAAAAAGCAGTAATGTTGCCCATGACGACCGATGTCATGTCCATCATCATTTCGTAACTCGTTGTTGCCACGCGGCTGCTTTGTGTAAAAAACACAGATGTCGACGTCGAAGGAGGCGACGATGATGAGCAAGGGTCACTCTCGTTGCATACGTTCCGCCAAAGCATCCCAGAGGGTTAACGCCTCATCTGTCGAAGTCCCCATGCACACTCACCGAAAAAGGCATTGAATATCGAGGTCCACATGTCGCCGTACTCCATTCGCATTCACTTCCTATACCAAATTTTCATCAAAGGGAATGTCAACGTTGTCGAGGATGTGTTGGAGTATACAAACGACGACGAACTGCTGCGGGACCGTCTCCAATTTCATCTTGTGTGTCCAAAAAAACAGCCTCCACATACCCTTGAGTCTCCCGAACCCCCTCTTCATAACTCCTCACGCCACATTTTGCTTGTTGTTGAACTGCTCCTCATCGGCGCGCTGATTTATGCCCCTGTATGAAACTACTATCCATTTGGACGGGGGATACCCACTGTCGCCCAACCGATAGCCATTTTTCCGCACCCCATGCGGGAAAGTCACAGGAGGACTGTGAAATAATGACCCTTCCTCCGCGCACACCCATAAAATGGAGAGTTGAAGCACGTTGATGTCGTGGTGGCTTCCCGGGTATCCAATTTGCACGTCCAGCATACGCAAGTCCAGGTCGACGACCATCTGCGCAATGATGGAAAACCGCCTTTTCCTCTCGTAGTAGTTTTCACTAGGGGAGTTCACAGGCTTGTCGATGTAGATGTGAGTGCAGTCGATGCATCCGTGGCAGTTGGGGGATCCCTTATCAGCGAACGCGCGAAGGACTACACGCTTCCGCACCCCCGTCGCCCAGGTGATCTTGTCACCATACACCCTAAACAGCACGGTGGTGACGTCATACACAACAACGAGGGCAAAAATTATGTCAATGCCAAAGCTGCAGGTGCTTCTCTCGCACGTCTCCCCTGATGCCCACCTGTACAACGCAGACGCCACAATCTGGTCGGGCTGCAATGGCTCTCTGTAGAAGGTCACCTGCCGTTGAAGATGAGGTGCACACGCCTTTACGATCTCCTGGAACACGTGCGGCGACATGCGAAGCTTCTCGGGGGGAAGTAATCTTCAGTGGTGTTGTCGCATTGCCGAAGGTCTTCCTGCGTGCCCCCCGTCCCCCTCTTGATCCACCACCTCGGCGTCGCTCGTGGAATGATCCTGCAACCCAACGAGTAGCACAACTCAATGACAGCCTCAGGAGTCGCCACGTATTAGGGCCCGTCGTTTGGAGCTTGCACGGGTGTCCTTCTACGCGCGCGCAGCTGCGCCCTCTCCTACTGACAATGGAGAACAATTGTACACAATGCCGCCGCCACGACCGTCCTCTCCAGCGCTCTCCATTGCCCACACTTCGACAGAATGACGTTTATTCGCCCGCTGCAACGATCGTCGGTCCGACGACACTTCCGCAAAGTTGCTTCCTTCCTGATGACGCTGCTGTTTTGCCAGGTGTGTGGCGCACAATGCAGTCTACGCCGCCTGCGTCGATGCGATGGTCACCAACATAGTGCACACACACACACACACAGCGCTGTGTTTCCCGGGAAGGGCCGCTGCCTCTGAGCCCGATTTGCCCGTTGCCCTTCTGCGCGCCGCCTGCACATCGTCGCCCTCGTCACCACGACCCCGCATTTCATATTCGGATTTCGAATTCTCTAGACGTGTGGAACTAGGCCGCAAATTTCCTTGACAGCTACAAGGAAATTTCTTTGTACCTCGAGCAAATCTTAAACCACCAGTACCTCGCTCAGCTATCGGCCGCGGGCCTTCCCGTATACGAGCCGCAGCCTTAGGGGGTCGGCCAAGGGAAGGCCCGGTCGTAGCGCGAAGGCCGGGCCCCGGTTCTGTAGGGACGACACTACTATAGATAAACAAAAAAAGAAAGAATGAAAAAAATGAAATACACAAACGAAAAAAAAATGAAATACACAGAAGGAAAGTGGCGCGGGAGGGAGGGAGGGAGAGAGAGAGAGAGAGA